TTTGTAAAACATGCACGAACATGTGCACGAACGAAAACGTGAATTTGTAAATTCCTTTAAACATAACAAATCAATTTCAAACTTGATGAAACTTTGCGAAATGTTTGTAAACATGAAAACACACATGTTAGAAAAAGAATTTCTCAAATTGAAATTTTTATTTGTGAAAACTCATGTATTTTGCAAGTGTGTCCAAAGCATGAAAACTCAAAACCATGCATGTATATATATAACTATATATATGCATAGAAACCAAATACGTGTGTGTATATGATATTGAGCTTAGAGTATCTAACACACATAATATAAAACCTAAACTAAATATACCAAAACTTGATCTTGATCTTCAATAGGCTTGACTTGATATATTTGCGGATGAAGCTTGAACTTGATCTTTAACTTGAATTGCATAGGCTTCACCGATATCGTCGTTGAAGCGCTATTCCATCCATCCTCCAACAATGTTGTTTGTCTATAATACATAGGAATGCACAAACACTAGACAAACAATATTAGTAGTAAATTGTTTGTAAATCATCATCAAAACAAGAAGGCCAACAATGCACACACTCATAAAGTTCATCATAAGCATGCTCATGTGTTTAAATACGATTATTGTAGTCGTCTTGGCCATTTGGCAAAGTTTTATTTTGATTTAAAAAAGAATTCTAGTTTGCCAAATGTTTCTAGTAGATCACATGTTTTTAAATGTGATGTTTGTGGTAGGTTTGGACATCTTGCTAAATTTTGTTTTGATGTACAAAAGCTCCTATTTTGCAAAATGTTCCAAAAAAACCACCTTTGTTTAATGAGGTTTCCCATTTGAAAAATGAATTTAAAAGACAATCTTTATTTGCAAATAATTTTCGTGCACACTCACTTGGTCAACACAAATCTTTTCACTCTTTTCATTGCACGAATTGCAATCGAAAGGGTCATTTGAATGAATATTATTTTGACCATGTTAGTGCACCACATGCGTCCAAATGGGGTCATAACCCAAGGGCTTTGAGCTTTAAAAGATAGGGGTCATGTTCCTAAATCTTTTGTACCACAAGTACTTGGGTATCAAAACATATTTAATTTTTTAAACCAAGAATTTTAGTGTTTTTCTTTTTCTTTTTCTTGGTTTTGAAAATTATGTTTTGAATTTTTTTTATGAAAACAATTTCTCTTTGATCAATTCTTATGTTTTCATGATTATTAGTTTTGATTTTGATGAGAGGTTTGTGTTTATATAACCCCCCGGGTTTATTGGGTGTTTATTCCTAAATATTATTTACCGGTTGCTAAAAATATTTATATGGGTTGAAACAAGCTCAAGAGCTTGATATGGTTGCCTCTCTTATTTTTGAAAATCTATGGTTTGGTTTTATATTCTTATATGATTTACTTGTGATTTATGATTTTATTGGTTGATTTGTTTTTATTTGAAAACTTTTTGCATGATTCTCATATCTTCTTTCTTTTGATTTCATAAATCTATTTTATACATTGCTTTTATGTTTGAGTAATGAGACACTATTTTCATATTGATATATTTATATGTGTTCTTAATGTCTTTATGTATGTGAGTTATGTTCAGCATGTTTTCATCTATGCATGCTCACATATATTTGCCTTGGTCTTTATTGTATATATTCCATAAGGCATTTTGATAGGGGAAGCCATCCCTATTTCTATTATTTGTTTTTATACTCACCCATGTTTATTTGTAGAGGGAGCTTTCGCTCTCTCCATTCTTTTGTTTTCCCATTTTTTGATGTTGTCAAAGGGGAAGAAATATAGTGAGTATATCTTGTTTTGGTTATATGCATGATAATTCTAATTTACATATTAATTTTCTTTCATGCATATATATCTTTTTGTAAATTGGTTGTCATCATCAAAAAGGGGGAGATTGTTGGGTCCTTTTGTTTTGATGATAATTAACAAATAATTTACAACTAATGTTGTTTGTCTAGTGTTTGTGTTTTGTATTTATTCTAGACAAACAATAGGTTAGAGGATGGATGGAATCGAGCATTCACGATCATATCCAATAAAGGTTAGCGGAATTGTAGAGTGAAGCATTGCATTTAAGTTAAAGATCCAAGATCCCGCTTCATCCGCACAGTTTACCAAGTCGAGCTCATTAAAGACCTTCATCAAGCTTGGGTAATTTAGTTTAGGTTTTATATTATGTGTGTTAAGTACTCTTAGCTCAATATCATATACACACACATTTTGTTTGGTTTCTATGTATATATAGTTATGTATATATACACAAGTTTTGGTTTTATAGTTTACAAGTTTATATAAATATGAAACCTATATTATTGTTTACATAAATATACATGTTTCACATTTGTTAAATGCATATTGTGCAAAACCTCATCTTTGCATAATATTGAGTTATTAGTTTATAGACTTAACAATCATAACATACATCTTTTATTAAGTCTATAAAATCAGTTTATAAAGTTTCAAAACATGATTTATGTCCAATGTCAAAAACAAGAGGTTTTTATTTACATGTTTTGGACTATTTTGTAAAATGAAGAGATTTTCTTTTTGGGAGGTGTATTTTGAAAACCAGTTTTTGTAACATGTATATTGTCATGTTTACAATCATTTTCCAAAGTTTTATATTTTTTTGATTTTATTTGCTATTTTTAAAAGAGGTTTAAAATCAGATTTTTGTTTTAAAACAGGCTGCTAACATGTTATCAGTCGACTGGTCAGTCGACTGATGACATCAGTCGACTGATGTGTCGACTGAAGAAATCACTTGGAACAACAAATAGTTTCTGTTTTGTTTTGGTCGACTGACCAGTCGACCGATGAGGTCATCAGTCGACTGATAAGGTCGTCAGTCGACTGATGAGCTGGAAAATGTCTCTAATGGTCAGCTCATCAGTCGGCTAATGGAAGCCGTCAGTTGACTGATGGCATCATAACGACTAGTTTTCCAGAATTTTCAGTTTTCGTTATTTTGTCTTTTTGTGATGTTTTCTCTTGGTTTTTTGGGTTAATTCATGAGCCTATATATAACCCTTGACCTCTAATATTCTTATGTAATCAAGAAAGTTTTTAAACAAGTTTAAAGAGTATTTAAGTTTGTTTAGTGTTTGTTTTTCAAGAGTTTAGTTTGTGAAGAAATTTTTACAAGAGCAAAGAGGAGATCATCCTTTAGTGTTTGAGCTTCAACTCATCTCTCTCACTCTTGTCATTTATTAGAGAAGTTTTCTAAACTCAATCTAGCTTTATATTTATATTGTTTGATATTAATTCATTAAGCTAGTGTTTATATTGAGTTTATTTATATTGTTTGATATTAATTCATTAAGCTAGTGTTTATATTGAGTTTAGTTGATTTTATTTACTCATTGTTTACCCACACAACCATTGAGCTTATTGTATTTTCATACATTGTATAATTTGGGTTGTGGGGTTTGTGTGACATTAAGTGTGAGCTTACATTGTGTTCTCATCCATTGTAGAGAATAATTTATTTGTTGAGTGCCTAAATTGTGAGATTCACTTTGTATTACACTAGTACACCAAGAGAAGTGTGTGGTGAGAGACGAGGTCGTCCCATGAGGAGTGGCGTAGGAGGTAATGCCTAGAGAGAGGTTGTAATTCCTAACACTTGAGGGAGACACGGGTTAGAGACCAACACTTGAGGTAGTAGTTAGTGTGTTTACATTATGAGTGATTATAAAGTTTTCGGTGAACTAGAAAACCGAATTATGAGGTGTAATACGTTATTCGGGTGAGCGTTGAAAACCCGGTTGTGTAGTGGATTTCTCCCTGGGAGTGGGGAGCGGAGTCGTAGGACGGAAGGTTCGAACTCCTTGATCATTTGATTATGTTTGAGTTTGCATTGGCATTTATTTATACTTGTGCTTATTGCTCATATCGTCATTGTCTCATTATTTAGTTTGTCCTATATATTATTTACACTATTTGTTTACTCTTGTTTATATTGCTTATCCTTGCATATATCTTATTGCATATCTTATTTGCTAGGATATTTGTTAATAAGTTTTTAATTGGTATTAAATTGGATTAGATTAGCATAAACCCTATTCCCCCCCCCCCCCTCTAGGGTTCTTTCCTAGTGGCATTAGGGTGCTTTCATATGCTTCACAGGTCTAGCTGAGATACTGCCATTGAGGAATTCAAACCTCGGGTGATCCGGTATCTCAAATACCACACTTCTACGATGATAATCAATGATGGCAAAGAATGACCCCAACCGATCCATTCCAAATACTGCATCAAAGCTTGGCAAATCAATCACTAGAAAATTTGCAAAGAGTTGTCTCCCGCAGATGACCACAAGGCAGGCTTCATAACCACTGGATGCTACTAAGACACCACTGCCAGTGTTGATATTCCAGCCCGTAGTTAGAGGAGTTATAGGAAGTGAGTGGGTACTCGCAAATCGACGAGACAAGAAACAATAGGAAGCTCCAGAGTCAAAGAGTGATAAAGCAGGAACGGAAGAAACAAGAACGTAGCCTATTACAGGAGGAGGTAAATGCAACTTTGCAACTAAACTTAGCACTCATAAACAAATCCTATCATGATATCATCAGGTAATGCTAAATAAGGAAAATTCATATGCAAGCAAAACTAAGAACGAACAGTTCTTACCAGTGATAACCTGGTCATTCGCCTCAGCTTCCACAGCTGACATCATGAATGTCTGATGCGATGGTTGCTGCCTCTGTGCATGTTGATAAACCTGCTTCTGTAGAGGAAGAGGCCCTGCTCGAGGATAGGGTCCGTGCTGAGCCGGAGCTACTGGGGCTGGTCGAGGTGGAGCTGGAAGAGCTGCCCGAACTAGAGATGGAGGCAAGCTGGCCTGCTGCCGTTGTGGACATTCCCAATTAACATGGTCGGGGGATCCACAGGCATAGCACAGACGAAGTTGCCTACTACACTCCTGCTGGGTATGCCTAGTGTAGCCATAATAGGTACATTTTGCCGAAGGCTGGCCGTGAGTCCGCACTTCAAAGCAGCTGCCGCTGGGAAAACAACCACCTCTGCGGAGCCTGCTGCTGCCTCAGAGGAGGATGCTCGATATTCCGGGCTGGAGCTGCTGGTGCTATGCTCTGCATCACATGTGGATCTTCAGGCTCCTTTTGAACACTCTCAATCTCACGCGCTGCATCCAACACAGCATTATGAGTCACGAGGGCCCTACCAACCAGAGCCAACCTGATGTACTTGTCCAGACCCTTCTGGAACTGATGCCTCCTAATAGTGGGTTCTGTAACTAAGTGGGGAGCATATCGACTGAGGGAAGAGAACTCGGCCTCATAATCATCCACTGATCGGCCTCCCTGCTTGAGCTCGACAAATCTACGCAAAAGCTCATCCCGGGCTGACTGAGGAAAATACTTCCTATTGAAGCGATCCGTGAATGTCTCCCACAGAATCGGCCTCTCCAGGTGTGTCTTCATAGCATCCCACCATATTCGAGCCATATCTGTGAGTTGGATATCCATAAGGTCCACCCACTTTGTAGGGGCAATGCGGGTCACCGTAAGGATAGTCTCGGTAACCTTCAGGAACTCTTCTGCTGCTAGAGGCCCTTTGGCACCAGAGAAAGAAGGAGGTCGCATATACCGGAACTCTCAAACACTAGGCTTTGAGTGAGGGGGATGTTGGTGCTGAGGCCCCTGCTGCAAATGCCCAGCTAAGAACTGCTAGTTTGTCACTAGCCCCTGAATCATCGCCAAGCTACTGCTGATCTACTTCAGGCATCTAACCACTGCTACTGGATAGGTTACCATTACTCCGTGTACCCACCATGGTTCTGAAGGAAATGCGAGAATCAAGATCGTTAGAGGAAGAATAGTCTCATGGCATATCACATAACTAAAATGAGAATCACGAATCACGAGATTTTCAAAAATAATCTTTTAAAATAATAAATTTATTTACTTCAAAATGATTTCTTTATCCAAAATAAATTCTTTATTTCTTATTATAATTATCCAAAAATAATTCCATTTTCCAAAATAACTCCTTTTAAATAATTCTAAAAACATTCTTTAAATATTCTTTTTATTATTCCCTCTTACAAAATAATTTCTTTTCTAATTATAATTAATCTAAAATAATTCTCTTTTCAAAATAAATTCCTTTTAAATTATTATAATTATCTAAATGATTCCGTTCTTAAAATAAATTCCTTTAAAATTAATATAATTATCTAGAAATGATTCCACTACCAAAATAAATTCTTTTAATTTATCATAATTATTCTAAAAATGATATTTATCATATCATCATGATTTATCTAATATTATTCATTAACAATCCCACGCAGATAATTATATCACAAACTAATCTATATAACCAATTACTAACAGATATAAATATTAAAATGACAAGTCAACGAGCAAGAGGGATCTTGCCTCGGGGTGTTGTCGAACGAATCGACTGCGGCGGTTTGAGGTTATCAACATCGTCACGAGTGCTGTTAGAGCGTGGGTTCGCCCACGGAGTGAGGGCGAGTGGCAGCGCGTAGAGGAGAGATTCAGTGCGGGCACAAGTGTGAAGGGGCGGATGCTTGCGGTTAACGATGGCGGATCTGATGCGACAGGGCGAGGCGAGGGCCGGAGGCTGAGCGATTGTGAGTCCGGAGTTCAGGTGAGCAGCTGACGGTTTGGGGTGGTGCAGTCATCGTGGAAGAAGTTATCGGAGCTCGATGACGGCGAGCCAGACGAGTTTAGGGGCAGCAGCAGAGGTGCACGGCTCGAGCTTAGGTTAGGGGCGGTCATGGCTGCGTCATTTGGCGACAAAGGGAAGAGGGAGGTGGAGCTCTTGGAGGTGACGGAGCTGGGGTTTGACGTCCGGAGATGAGAGGGAGGTGGGAACTGCTGGCGTCGCACGGTAGAAAACTGTGGTATCAGCGGGTGTTTGGCAGACGAGTGGAGGAGCTGTATGTTCAAGGAGCAGGGGTACGCTGAACGGGTGGTGTGGGGGTCTCGTCGTTGGTCGGAAGCTCTGGAGGTTGTTGAACAACATTGAGAGGAGACGCGAGAGTGGAGAGGCTTGAAGATGGTGAGGAGATTTCTTTATGATGATAGGGAGACGATGAACGCTGAGCAGCAGATGTTGAGGGACGTGGTGAGATCGATAGAGAGAAGAAGAGGGCGGGTCTGAGCTCAGGTCATGGGGGAGGAAGAGCTTGGGTGTAGTGAGAGGGAGATGGAGGACGAAGGGAGAAAGAGGGGAGCTGGGCTTCTTTGATGGAGGAGATGAAGTGAGAGAGAGACAGAGTGAACTGAGAGAGTGTGAGAGAGATAGTGTGGGGGACAACTAATTAGGGATGGTCGTGATGGGGTTTCTTGGAGAGAGTGAGAGGGGGATGTCGGCAGATGGGGGCGGGGTCAGAGAAGTGAGGCACACGGGGAACGAGGTAGGGATTTTAGGGAGTGGGGTAGGAGAGAGAGAGAGAAAATGAGAGAGATATATCATAGGTGGGAGAGAAAAACACAGGAAAAAATATACCCATTTAAAATAATATAAATAATAATAACAACAATAATGAATAGCCAACATTAATTTAAAAGTTTTTACCGTAACAACTAATTTATAATTAGCAATACCATTAAAATAAATATAAAAATGTATTTTTAAATCATAAAATCCTAGAAAATTAGGGAAAATGCAAATACTCTTTTGAAAAGTAATATTTAATATTTAAATACTAGAAAATTTTATTTAAAGCAGTATCGAAAATCACGGTCCTTACTCTTGACATCATCTTTTGAATGAGCCCTACATAGGGGTGTTATCGGAGCGGATACGGTTCGGATATGACGTTTACCATATCCATATCCGCTTTTTATAAACGGATACGGATACGGATACGGATACGGATCACCCTCGGTAAGAAAAAACCTTAACCATATCCGCATTTATCGGAAACGGATACGGTTCGGATATTTGAGAATCGGATCGGATATGATCACGGATATAAACGGATATTCGACATAAATCTATTAGACATAAACAAGTTTAAAGAATGTAACAGAACACACATACAGATGTAGAATTAGAGTTTGCATACTTCTTGGGTTTGTGAGACTAGCACCACCTTTTGCACATTTGAAAAACCAGAAACTTTTAATGCCAACTCATGAGGATTAAAACAGAGTAGGCAACTGGACAGAGGAATACAGCCAATTCTTTGGCGATTTGTCTCGAGTTTCCAGGCCGTATTTAGGTGACACTGGCTTGGCTTGCTTGGATTGTTTAGAATTGAGATTAAGAAAACCATAGGCGTATATCAAGTCCTATTTGGAATACATCAATTGAAATATATGATAACCCACTTGGAATACATCAATATAGACATTTTCTTGGGTTTGGAAATAGAATACCATATACATATGGCATCTTTATATACCCAGAAATATGAGGATCTCCTCATCTACGAAGAGCATGAAGTCTAAACAACTAAATTCTATGATCCACGCCCCTATTAAATCGAAACTTCACGTCCATGATGATAAAAGTACAATGTATAATTAGAAATAAAATGCCAGGTGGCTCATCCTTCAACCTACTAGAAAGAGATAGTATCGGTTACTATGCAAAGAAATGCCCATAGTTTCATATGGTAAATAAGAGGACAAGGAACGGCTTCAGGCTAGGCGAATCGTGCTGCGGAGATGCGAACCTTCGGCTGGCGATCGTGGCTCGGCGAGTGGCGACTCTTGCGGTGCTCTAGCTGAGCGAGAAGGTTGAGCGAGTGGCGATCTTCGAAGTTTTGAGCGAGTGGTGACTCTTCGGCTGTGAGATCGCCGGAAATATCCAACCGTGTGAGGAGCTTGAGGTTGATGGATGAACAGCAGCTGAGACTGGAGAGACTGGAGGCGCCTGAGGCTGAGTGGGGCCTAGGTTTTTTTGTTTTTAGTTTTGGGCGAACAGCACTGGAGAATGGAGACGGGAGAGACTGGAGGAGGCTTGAGGGCTGAGTGAGGGCCTAGGGTTTTTTGGTTTTTAGTTTTGGGTGAACGGATGCGGGTTTGTAACTATATATTTGGGACCCGATTACCCGAATTACTATTACATTGCGGATATCCGTATCCGCAACCCTCATATCCGTTACCGAATCCGTATCCGAAAAAAATCCGAAACCATATCCGTATCCGTTACCGTATCCGCCCGGTTTCAAAATTAGCCTACCATATCCGCATCCGTTCGGATACGGATGCGGATCGGTTCGGATATATCCGAACCGTTTGGCACCCCTAGCCCTACATATTAGTTTAAAATATGATATTTTAATTTATTATGTTACATTAATGGTTGCATCTGCAAATTATCATTCTTTTATGTCCTTAGCAAGCTATATCTCTAGGTTGATACATATAACTCAACCCATACCCATTATAAACGGGTCGGGGTGGCAAATTTTGACCCGACCCATCAACCCGACCCGACTCGACCCGTTTATAATGGGTATGGGTTGAGTTATATGGGTTGGGTCATAAATGGGTCAACCTGAATTTACCCATTTATTAGATGGGTAAATTCGGGTTGTGCCACTGACCCGTATAATGACCTGTATAATGAAAGTACCGACCCGAATAACAACCTGCTTAAACCCGTGCGACAAAAATAAGCTCCAGATCCCATCACGAAGAAAAGCCCTAGATCCCATCACGAAGCTCAAGCGGCAAGCGGCGCTGGCCCTAGATCCCATCACGAAGCTCGATCGGCGAGCGGCGACGGCGGCAAACGGCGAGCAGCGGCGATCGGAGTGAGGTGTCGACGACGAGTGACGGTGAACAAGCGAAGGCAAGCGGCGTCGTTTCTTCCCCATTTTTGTCTTCGTTCTAATTTAGACCCTTGTTTCCCAATAATTCACAGCGCGATTCTCTCTGTAAGTTTCCCCCCTCTCTCTCTTTCGAAGCTTAAATGTTCAAGTTTTATAGCTCAAATGTTCTGTTTCCAGAGTTGATCATTGGCTTTCATGTAAATGAATTTGATCATAGACATCTATTCCTCTTACTAGGGTTTCATTCATGCTCATTTATTAGTGAAATCTGGCTAGAGTTCCATCTTTTGATGTACTCTTTATCTCTGATTGTGATTTATTTTTTAAGTAGACTGTTTGAATATCGACAATCAGTATTGAGGATCTAACCTTAACCTATTACTCTGCCATAATTTTGATATGTTTAATTAATAAATTTTAATTACCTGAACATATAATTAGTTTTTCTTGACGCTGCATTTTAGGAAATAATCAGTTCCCCAACGGATAGCTGAATGAATATTTTGTAGCTCATTTGTAGCTTGTAATTATTGGTTATAATGAAGAGCATCCCATGCCAGAGTTGTGACTGTAAAAGTCATGGGCAAGCCATATTTTACATTGTCTGCTGCATCATAGTATCCTCCCACGAGGTCCACCTACACTTTCCATGAAAATTGTCAACATAAAAGAGAGAAAATTTAATATATGACTCCATTGGAAGTGGATAAAAGAGAGAAAATTTAATATATGTGTGTCTATTAATTACCAAGATGATATCGAAAAATTTAATATATGACTCCATTGGAAGTGGATAAAAGAGAGAAATTTTAATATATGTGTGTC